TTATCTCCAAAAGAACCAAAAAAACTTGGAAAAATTGTTACTGCTAATGATATTATATCACACGATTCTCTCATATAAATCGAGACCTCGCCTGGGTCGTATAAGGTAAGCAATAAGCATGTAAAATACGACAGACAAAAATAATGGATAAAAAACTGACCCACCCAAGTTCAGAAAGTAAGAAACGGGTTTGAATAAAGCAAAGAGCATTTGGTACTTTTCTACAGCCCCACCAAACAGAGGCACAAATCAAAGAGTTGGACAAGCCTTAAAATTCCTTTCTCATAGGATTCCGCTGTCTGCAAGCTCAGCTATCCAGTGACACGCAACTGGAGCTTCACTCTAGCCGTCATCAAAGCGCTTTACTATAACCAAACCTTTTTATTTTGGACACAAGTAAAATTCGCTCAGAGCAAGGTCAGGACTGTCACCCGGGTGGTTAGGGGGAATTCATTCACCCATTTGAATGAATGAATAAAGATCTTGCAAGAGAATTGCTGTATGAGGTCGGGCATTGTTAGGGAAAAATAAAAGTTAGATATTAAATTTAGTATGCCTACACAGCTATTTTGAAAATTCCGAAAGCAACATTTTCAGGCAGAACTTTATTTATTACGTTATTTCCGTACAACTAAAACGATTGACAATCACTTTCTAGAGGGCTTTAAGTTAATGGTCAACAAAAACTGTAAGTAACTATAGACCACGCCTCTCAAAGTGATATTGTAGCACAGCAACACTTTTGCTTTGACGGCTGGATTGTCATTGAGAAAGCAAACACATACTGTACCGTACCAGAAAGTGCTCAAGCAGCAGCCCATCGACGTCAGATAGGTGCCTTACTTTCTGAATAGTACAGTATTTTACCTCATTGTAACAATGGTTAATCCAGGGCCGGTATTTAAATAAGGGTGTAGGCCTACTGTTAAACTGTAGTAAATACATACCTGGAGGTTCTTTTTACGGTGGAACACTATGCTTTTCGCCTTGACTTTTCTGTCCTTGATGTCAACCTTGTTTCCGCAGAGAACGATTGGGATGTTTTCGCAAACCCTGACTAAGTCTCTATGCCAGTTAGGAACATTCTTGTATGTGACTCTAGACGTAACATCGAACATAACGATGGCGCATTGACCCTGTGAAAAATGATTGCTCAAGATTAGACACCCATACTAGTAAGCTGCTTAGTTTTTAAAATAAACTAAATTTACGACCAATAAAAGCTGAAACTTGGCACAACAATTTAATGCAATCATTACACATTAAAAATTTATTTAACAATGAAGTAACTTTTATTTCCGTAACTAAAACATCTACACTTGTTACGACATAGGCTTATAAGTTACAAAGGTAACATTGGTACAAAATTAAAAATGGGAATATAGGCTAAATCTTAAGCCATTAGTAGCCTACGGTACCTACTTTTAATGCTCTACCGGCAGGCCTACCTTAGAAAAACAAAATAATAGTTCAGAAGATCCATTGTTTAAAACTCTGGACTGTGCAATTTATATTCACGACGTACCCGTAAGTTAACCAATTAGGTACTTTACAAAAACTTCATTAAAAAAGAATCAAAACTTGTATTGTAGGTAAATTAGGGAGCTTATTCTTTTATTTTATTGGCTTTATTGGAGAAGGTAATACAGTTAGAGCTTGAGTACATGATTGTCTTAACTTTTTTTCTTTAAACCTAGCCTAAGTAACTTTCAAAGGCTAACATTTTCTTAACATATCTTTACCTGGATATAGTAACCGTCTCGAAGGCCGCCAAACTTCTCTTGGCCTGCAGTGTCCCAAACGTTGAATCTGATTGGACCTCTGTTGGTGTGGAACACTAGTGGATGCACTTCTACTCCAAGCGTGGCGACGTACTTCTTCTCAAATTCACCAGTAAGATGTCGTTTGACAAACGTGGTCTTTCCTGTACCACCGTCTCCGACCAAGACACACTTAAATGTCGGCATCTCCTGCTCAGCCATCTTGAATTGAAAATTTAGAATCTACCTGTAACAAAAAATACCTAACTTGAGTCAAGTAACTTACATTTAATCTTGAATTACACGTAGACCAAGTATGGTAGATCAATTATGTAAACATAGTTAAATATAGGCTACCACACATTGTTAATCAATTGGATTGGGGGAAAAAATCATAATTTAAACAAAACAGAAAGGTGGTAACTCAACTATCTTTACCACAGCATCAGTTGAGTACCTAAGCTTAACTTAAAAGATTTTGTGGCAATTTATGCAAGTAATTTGAAACCCTATGTTAGCAAGTACCGTAGATAGGCCTCCTATGATGTTTAAGTTATACCCAACATCTTCTAAAGCTCTTGTCGGATTAGGGTAACGAAATGGCCAAGAAACGAGCTTGCGTAATGACCTCAGTCTGTCCTTAAGTTATAGGCCTATTCTTAACTTCGCAGCCTACGAATATATTTGTGTCAATGTCCTAACTTAATGTTATTATCTTCGTAACAGTCTATTTGAAGCCCCTGAGTTCTCTGCAATGGACTAATTTACAGGGATGTAGTTGTTTCACATGTGCGTCACCTGGTCTGTGACTGTGGGTAAGTACCTAAGTTAGGTTTAAGTTATGATGATTTGTGATGTCATAAATTATATGACAGTTAGGAAAAATGTTTTTTTGTCGCATCACTGTCTACTTATAGGCACACAAAGTTTGTGCACGTGCTTTTGTTTAGCGAGTCTTTGTAAGTTAAGGTATTATTTCCTAGATAAGTTAGCAACTTTTTGTTTTCCAAGTGAGTTTGTGTGATGAAAACGAAGAAACACAATAAAAGGAGAGCTAAGTTAACTTAAATCTTTACTTAGTGCCATTACATAAGTTACTGACAGTGAAATTGATCGCAAGATAACTTAGATTTTGATAGTGACAAAGAATCTGAACACAGTTCTTTGTTTTTGAATGGAGAGTGAATATTACAACAATTTTTAAACTCCAGTAACAAGAATTAGGTAACTTATAGATTACAAATAAGTTACTACTTAAGTTAACTTATTGCAGCACATTTATCTCAGTGCAACAAGTTTACCCCTTGGTCTGCGTGTAAAGTTCAGTTAAAACTTAACCCTCCCAGTGTTACTTGACGAAAATTCGACAAGCAGCACACTTTGTGTAGTGTTACTTGTCGATTTTTCGACACGCAGACATCGTTTACGGCGAAGGCTCTATGACTGACTGAATCGGATTGAACTGGATCGAGTTAGGTATCGTTCTTTCCGTAATATTCTAAGCTTTCTCCAGATGTCTGTCTCAGCGCTGTACGTTCTCTGAGCCGATCGTAATTGTAGCAGACAGCTGACGTGCGTGACGCGTGTATTTGTAAACAGCTAGGTTACCCTCAGACCGATGACTGATGTGTTTTATTACGTTTATCATTGTTTTAGTGTTAAAAATCAAAAGTAGTGATATACGTGTTGCATTATAAGAAGATTTAAGTGGTTTTGAAGTGCTGGTTGATGATCCTGAAGAAGTAGGTAGTGATATTGATGTAAATTATCAGCCAGATTCCTAGCTATGGTTAGGCTATGCATTCTTAGCTAAACGCTATGTACTGAAATCTGTTTTTTGCCCATAACTTATTTATTTGCAAATCTACTTCCTTATATTATTATATATTTGTAATCCTCATAAAATTTAGAACAAAGTGGCTATTTTCAAATATTTATAGGCCTATAATTTATACAATTTCATTGAGCGCAAACTTATTTTTTTTTTTGAAAATTTTCGAAATTATATTTTTTTTTACATAAAATTTTTTTTTTAATGTTCCTTATGTTTTATATATAATATTGAAGCCCATGATTTTCCAAACAAAATGGTATATAGAACATTAGAATTAACATTGTTTTAAGCTTCTCAGATCCGTTTTAATAAAACCTTGCAAATGAGCCAAAAATAGATGGACATTAAGGCCTAAACTATGGACACTTGGAGGGTTAACAAAGCTACTGTCAGCCAAGTGACACCTGGTCTATGTGTGAAATTAAAATTAACTCCTCGGTCCGTGGGAGTGACGCATTGTCACATATAAGTTAAGTAATGCAGGACTCAGTAAGCGAACGTGTTAACAAACTTCCACCGGATTAACTTAGCAAAACTAAACTAAAGGTTCAAAGGGTTGACTTAGGCCTATGTTTGGTTAATCCAATGAACAATGAAATGCTAAATTAGGTTAAGCATTAACTTGTGTTTTAATGCCTGTGATATAGCCTACTCCCAAATAGATCTTAACAGAAGCGAAGCTTGTCTGGAAAATTAGTTCAAGGACTTTCCTGTTGCAACTGGGTTGCCGTCAGTAAAACTACTAGGCCTAAGTAAGACCTATTTTGGTAAAGGGTTGATGAAATTAAGCTTAGGGTTACATAGGAGTATAAATATAGGGGCTTTAAAGAATTACAGTTCATGTTACTTCCTATTTATATACATAAATTACCGGTATTTTTTAATTGTAGCCGAAAATCATATGAAATGGCGCCACCAATTCTGTTCCAAAGGAAAATGGCCATTACTGACCGAAGTATTTATTGCATAACAAATGCAATTTAGAGGTAAAATAAATCATTTGTATATATTTGTGTTCATATTTACCTATATAATCTACTAATAAAGTTTAAGAACATAATATTACGGGATGCACGGAAAATTAGTCGATAAAACTTACCTCACTGCAAAGACGTTACGGTTCACAATGGTGTTTCAGTTGGAGAGGAGGAGAATTGGGTGATGATGGAGGCAGGAAACGGAAATCAAAATTCAAATTTTAATCACAATACTTTTATATACTACAAAAATATATAAATATTTCCATCAGTTTTCTAAAATTATAAATTTTTGAGCATGTTTTTATATATTTCTTTTACAATTTTAAAAGTTGGTAATAAAGTAGCTTTGTTTTGCAGCTTTTGTAATGACGTCACAGGCGCAGCCGCAGTTTGACAGACGGCAATGCAGAAGCATATCGATTTTTAACGTCGTCTACTCGTCTACAGTTTTAGTGTCCGTCTATTAGTGTAGTAGTGTTGTTTCATGCTAAATTCAGTGAATGGGATTTTTTATTGAAGTAGCGGTGTAAATTACCTGGTTATAAGATGACCAAGGACAGGCTTCAAGCTTTAAAAGCTGTAAGTATGCTTTATGTTACTAGTATTACACCCAATTTGACATCAATAATACTATACTAGTTTCTATGTTATGCACAGGGATTGACTTTGAAATAAGTTGAAAAAGTATCGTAATTGTTTGGTTTCTCAGGTACTACTTGTTGCCAATCATGATGAGTTCCTCTGTATTGTTTTACAACAAATGAATCACCATTCAATCAATGAGGAAAGTGAGAATAATCTCAGTTTCACATATAGGGATGGAGCATGTCAGGGAGAAAACCCAGCCCCACCCCCTGATATTTAAACTTGCATTGGGTATGGTCAAAATGATTTGGTTAATTTTCTATGAATTGACTGTTCACAATGTTTTTATAAATTTATGGACCAAACTTTTGACAGTTTTTATCTCTGAAACTGTATAAAAGACCTTAGGCAAGCATTTGTTTTTTCTAAAAATTTAAAGTGAAAAGAACACGCGTGTTCAAGTATTAGTGAAGGATTAAGTTTAAGTATTTTAAGTTTACTGTATAGGCCTAGATCTAGGCCTAAGTTATATCTAACATTACTTATCACTCGGCAAGCCTCTTAAGTTACGTTGATTTTATTGAGATTAGAACAGAAACACACAAATTTCACATCATATTTTGTCTACACAGTTGTTATCACAGTAACTTACGTGACATCTAAAAATTCTTATTTAACTTACAGTAGGGTCTTAAGTTACTTAAATTAAAGAGTTAAGTAACTTAAGACCTTAACATCTTAAGGGTTACCTTAAGACCTCCCAAAAGTAAGGCGGTTGTACATACTATAGAGACCTTTAATCGTGTTGACAACCGACTAATCTAATGTGCTTTGCACGCGAGGGTTCGAATCCCATCCTCGTCGCTAATGATATGTATACTTGAGGGTTGACTATTATATGTGGATTCTTTGATTAAAACTCACATTTTATAACTGCACAAACAAACTTTATTAATTGACGCCAGAGACATTTAAGTTTACATTATTAACATTGAGACTTCCCAGACTATGGCTAACTAACTGAGTTCGGCTATCCTGGTGGGGGTATACGGTACCTACGATACATCATAAATTAGTCTAATCAAACTAGGCCTAAGTTACTGTTTCAACCGGTAGGCCTTAATATTTCATTCATTCTCTGCGAAACTGTAACTTACCTCTGGCCACAACTTCTACAACAAGTTACTTGGTCACAGCTGTAATTTTAATTGAAATTATGTTTTTTTTTTTGTCCTAGGATGCTAAGGACGAGCCTAGAATTGTTTTTCACATTACTTCAGGCTAGACCTAGGGGTTAAAACAGCATATCACTTAGATAAAATCCATTGGTGATTTGGCGGGGTTTGAACCCGGGACCCCAGGAACCAGAGTCCCGCGCTCTAACCACTAGACCAGCTCGCTCCCCAAAAAGGCCAGCTTGGCTCGTGTAAAATTACGTTAAATACTGTAGTAACTTATTGCCTATGAAAAACTAAGTTACCTACTTTATGTTGGAAAAATATTTGCTCTGAATAAACTTAACCGTCATGAAAAATTAAGTAAATTAGGCCTTGGCCTAGCCTAAACTTAATACAGGAGACCACTTAACTTTAAAAATGGTTGGGGCTGTGCGGAAACTTGACCCACTCAACATGGGCAATGGTGGTGGGGCAAAAAATGCAGCTAAATGATGACTATAACATGGGAACACCTTCACAGAGAACCTAACTTACGATATAGATTCAAGAGATTTATTGTATCATTAAGTAACTTAATACTATAAACTTAGAGGCTATTATAGGATGAATAAAGATAAATATTGAAACATATAACCGAATACCTATATCGAAATATCTGGTTCGATATTAATATCACAAAGTTGCCCATTTTACCATCATGATGTAAATAAAAACAACAACAAAGACATTAACAAATTTATTTCTTAGTGTCCACTTAATATTTAAGAATAAAAATGGAAGAAATGGTTTGTAGGTTTTTAGTTTACATTTCTTAATATTGTTATCTTATGTTTTGGTTATTATTTGTTTTGTTAAGTTACGGTACATACTTTTCATAAAACAAATTGTGTTTAAGTTATGTTTTTATGATGATAGCTTTATTTAACTTATTAAATATCAATTAAAACGTCAATAAAAGCCAATTTTTAAATCAATGTTTGCAATAGAAAAAATTATATAGGCCTAGGCCTAATCGATATATCGAACCGAATAAGTTTCGATATAAATTGTTATTCATACGATAATATACCGGTATCGTAGGTTCTCTGCAGAAGTCTACACTTAAACATTTAGAATAAAACTAGGCTACAGCTGGCTCATGTAACTTAAATGTAACAATTAATTTCTCTTCACGTGATCACTGGTCTCAAATCTTTCCTTCGAGAACAATCGTTTCAGTACCGCCCTCTTCCTGCCGATCTAGTCCGGTTAAACCGATGTACTGATAAAAATTGTACGGTTAAGGAGATGTAATTTCCGCCGAGTGTAGTCCGGTTAAAAGGTGTCCGGATAAAAGGAAGTCTACTGTAGTTTGACTCCCTACTATCTAGCCTATTTAAGAACAGGCCATAGTAATTATGTCAGTAGTTCTGGCATTTATTTTTTCTCCTTAAACGGATAGCCTACTGATATCACTTTGTAAATTGCTTTAGAAATTCACCTATTAGGAGGCTACTAAATTTTAGTCCTGGTTTATGAAATTACAACAGTGGTAACTAGGCTTATTTTGACCTAACGGGACACAACCCAACCGTGCCTGACCTAATCAGACATTAAACGCATCAAGTGCTTAACTGACGAAAAATATATCTAAATATGAAGCTTTCTCTAATTGTTTCTTGTTGTTACAATGTACCTACATCACAAAAAATATTCTTCACAATACCTTAGGCCAACCTTACCTTACCTATTAGGCCACTCAAACCTCAGAAGGTTTTTGGCCTCGCCAACCATGCCTCGCCATCTCTCTCTGTTTTGCATCCATTGAGCCTCTGCCCCCAATCTTCTCAAGTTCTTTTCCACTTGGTCCTTCCAGCGAAGTCGTGGTCGTCCCAAGGGCCGCTTTCCTCTTGGTAGTCCTTCATTTATCGCTTTAACTGTTGCATTTTGTTCTCTTCTTGCGATATGGCCTGCCCACCTGAGTCTTCTGCTTTTGATTTGGGCTATTATGTCCGGGTCTCTGTATAGCTCTTGAATCTCTTTATTAGTGAGTATTCTCCATATTCCATCTTCATTTATGGGACCATAGATGCACCTTAAAATTTTGTTTTCAAACACCATCAGCTTTTTCTTCACAATAGGCCTACACAAGATACAAAATAAAACACTTTACACCGGTGGCAGTCATCAGGCGTTTAAAGTTCTATTGAATTAAACGAGAGCATTTATACATGGGGAGGTAAAAAAGTGTTCTAAGAATTGCTGTTACAAAACAGTAGGCCTATTGTTTGTTCCATCTAAATTACGATGAATCAAATATTTATGCATGGCGGCTGGTGTATTTTCTATACTTTATATTGTATATTCTTCATATAATTACATTGTAGGTGTTAGCCTCCGGATTGCCAAATAATATTAGAAAAAGTGCAAATACCTGCTATTAAGCAATCCAACGTTGTTGTTAACACAACTAGTTTCAGTGCCTGTGTGGCACCATCATCAGGCTATACAAGGACGGTTTTCTTTCTTCATACGAAGAGAGTCATATAGTTCACACGAAAATAATAAATAAACATTTATGACGTTCTTCGTATGAAGAAAGAAAACCATCCTTTTACAGCCTGATGATGGTGCCACACAGGCACCGAAACTAGTTGTGTTAACAATATTGGATTGCTTAATAGTAGGTATTTGCACCTTTTCTAATATTTATATAAAAATGTAAATATACACAAGTACGGTACCCTTATTGTTATTTTAAATATTCATAAATTACATAATGTTTAGTCTATAATGACATTTTTCAAGCGTGTTCACCTAATTCTAGTTGTAGCCTGTATGGAAATTCTGATACAGTTTTTGAAACCCTCATCCCCTCTAAATGAAATATTCATTGAACTTCAAACATTTAGTGTAAAAGAGTTGTTTAGCCTCCGGATTTCTGTATTGTACTTTAAATGGTTTACGATACCTGCATATAGTAATCCTTCGTTGCTTCGTTTCGTATCCTTCGTTTTGATAACTTTCGGTTCTTCCTAACCATCCTCAGGTGTCAGGGTGATCACTTCTTTGAAGGTTGTTAACATAGTTCAATAAATAAAACATATGGAGATACAATAACGTAGAATAAATATACTCAATTATAGACTTTATTTCAGCCCGGTCACGTTCGTTTTTGTCAATGTTCCTTCAAGTGTTACATGTTTTTTGTAACTGTATATTTATTCTATGTTTTGCGTCTCCATATGTTTTAATTATTGAACTCTGTTAACGACTTTCAAATGAAGTGTCACCTGACAACTTGAGGCCTGAGAATGGTTCATAAGAACTGAAACTAGTTGCCAAAACAGCAACGAAGGATTACTATATGCAGGTATCGTAAACCATTTAAAATACAACGTAAGTTCCTGAAAGGCGTAATTTCTACCGTAACTTATTAAAGAGTTGTCCTTCATTTTCTATTCTACATTTGTTTACAATTACGCTTAAGGGGTTTTCAAGACAACTAATGATTTAATTTACAAAAAGCCACATCCTCTAGATAACTAGAGCATTCTTTAATTTAGAAATGATCATCGAGTCGCGTTATCAATGGCTCCAAATTGGCAGTTGGTCACGTATACTTTTAAAGATGTATGGTTTTACATGTTTTGTCTTGTGTTTCAGGCGCAGAGTGATGATGATGACGTCGGTCCTGATGACGTCGCGGTCAACGTGGAAGGCCGCGACGGCTTCATGGACGAGTTCTTTGCGGAGGTAAGTCGTACATGTCATATAATCTTTGGTTCAATTCATATGCAATGTTGTAGTTGTTTAATGATGAGTTTGATGTGAGGAAGAACAATGTGAAACAACACTCTATAGCACTCTCTACTTAAAAAGTTTTTAAACTGTAATAAAGTTGCTGGGCAGGCTATTTTTGGCGAATTTCCCATATAGGGAATAAGCTATTACCGTAGTACTCTATATATGTGTCCGTTAGCACGATAACTCGAGCAAAAATGATCCGATTTTGATTAAATTTGGTATAAACGTGTAAACCTACATTTATTCAAACGAGTTAGCGAACCAGCATGATCGGACTATGGGAACGGGGGTGTACGGGGGGTTTCATGGGGTAAAAATAGGGTTTTCCCATTTTTTACCCAAAAAACATAAAAACTTTCAATTTCTTTCCAAACCATTTTGTAGAGCTTAAAAAGCAAATAATTTTTACAAAAAAACAAAAACAGTTTTACCCTCCCTGATGCAGCAAACCTAAGTACTTGTTAAACTAATTCTATTTAAATAGGAAATAAATGTTATATTTTTAAGTAGACATTTTAGTGTTCCAATCATGCAAATGGAAATTCACTTAGTCTGCAGGTTTGCTGCGGCAGGGGTATTTTATGTGTAGGAAGTGTAGGGAGAGTATGAAACAGATGGAGGATGTAGGACATAGTTTAAACTAGAAATCCCTTTAACAATAATTTCGGGTGACCCTAATTCCATCCCCCCTTGGTTGAGACTTTTTTCACTGGAGGGTGAGATTCCAACTGCAAAAAATTCACATAGTCTATGCAGATTTGCTGAGGCAGGGGTATTTTACTCCTCAATTAATAAGTGATCAACTTGTGATTTGGGGACTTAATGTGCACTTTTATTTTTTCCAAAAAGTTTGTGTGTTGTGAATTTTCACAAGGAACATCACTAAAAAGATGGTATTACATTTTTAAGAACTTCAGCCTGTGTTTGTATAATTTTAATGAGATACTAGGTGAAGTCCGTAGAAATCAACGAAATCAACAAAATCAACGGTTCGGTTACTGTTGAGGTTTCAAGCAAAATCATTTAACTATCAATCAATGATAAATAAGCTCAATTTTGGAGAATTTTGGGTTGTCCGTGATTCAGCAGTGTGCTTTAAGTATGTCCAATATTAATAATCAATAGCTCAAATGAAAGCTGGTATTTCACAGAAGGTTCTTGGATAAAGAAAATAGGATAATGTAGTTAGAATTGAATAAATATATCTAAAATAATTTTCCATATCTGAGAAATAATCAAATTTATGGTTTTTAATTGAGTAATACAGTATCTCTTAACTGATTCAAACGATCAATATCTCAAATGAAATCCTTTATTTCTAGGAGTACTTAAAGACCAAGACATATTTAAAAATAGTGTTACGTATCATTGATTGCAGATAAGTCCTAAAATAATTATAATTAGGCCTATTGTTGATTCGTGATTCAGCAGCGGGCTTTAGGTACGCCTGAACTTTATAATCAATAGTTCAAATGAAAGCTTGTATTTCAGTGAAGGTTCTTACACCAAAAAATGTATAGAATAATGTAATTAGACCTGGTGAAATATATTAATTGATTACTTTAATTGAAGTAAGAATTCAAAAACATATTTACTGATAAATGAATAACGATGCTTGATGGTAAATATGTGCGTGCATACCTTTAATTTAAGACGAAAATTATGAAAATCAATCGGGGTAGAAGAGCCAAACCGACTCGGAAAAGAAAACCCAATAATTTTAAATAGCCTATATTATTTTTTGGCTCACTTTTGCATTGAAATCAGTTGGATCGTTAAAATCAGTTATATGACCTTTTCGCTACTGCAATAGTTTAACTCAATGAAATTTGCAGATATCTCTTTAAATTTGTTAGCTTTCCTAGTTACAAATCAATTAGCCTAACTAATTGAACTATTGTTTGAGTGTTTGCATTGTTAATTAGTATAATGGGTATAACATCTCAGTGATTCATGTAATTTATTAACTAAGGTATGAAGAGCATGAATTACTTCATCTAACAGTAAAAAGTGGAGGAATAGGGATGGCTGATCCAATAGTACAATCGAAACACATATATGAAACGTCAAAAAGAGGTTGTGAAGTTCTCTTACAATCCCTTGCATTAAAAACCTCTTTTGAGTTCAGTGAGCATGAAGATGCTTTAAAAAAAGCATTAAAGTTCCATAGAGAACAAAAGAAAACTGAAGAAAACAAATTATTAAATGAAAATTTAAAATATTTTTCACTACAAAGGCAAAATGTAATTTTACAAAATGCTGACCCTAAATCAAAACATAGCAGCTGGTTATCCTGTGTACCATTGAAGAAATTAAATTTCGACATGTCACCTCAAGAATTTAGGGATTCCCTGGCACTGAGATATGGTCGGACACCAATCCATTTACCAACCAATTGTGATGGCTGTGGGAAAGAATTTAACACAGATCATGCCCTTACGTGTCCTGTAGGTGGCCTAATTATCAAACGACACAATGAAATTAGAGATGCTTTAGGAAACATTATGGAACAGGCATGGGGGAATTGTATCAAAGAGCCCCTTATAGCAGAGAATAGAAATACAAACGGGCCTGCAATTAAAGCTGACTTGGCATGTAGAGGGGTATGGGAGACACAGAGGGAAGCATTATTTGATATCCGTGTCGTAGACACCGATGCTCCCTCATATGCTTCCAAACCTCATGACAATGTCATACAAAATGCAGAAGAAGAAAAGAAAAGAAAGTATATTTCAGCCTGTGAGAGCCGGAATGCCTCTTTCACACCTTTGATAACATCAGTATGCGGAATCTTAGGCAAAGATTTTCAAACACTAATAAGAGCACTAGCTGAGAGATTGTCAGAAAAATGGGTTAAGCCTTACAGTCTGGTAGTTAATTGGATCAGAACGAGACTGACTTGCTCAATTTTAAGGGCAACAAGTATGTGCCTGAGAAGATCTAGAAAAAAATGGAGATCTGCTCGAGAATTCGAAGATGGAGCAGGCATCCAACATATTTATTGAGAGAATCAAAATTTTTAGCAATATCTGTAAATTTAGATTTATTTTTCTTGTAATTATCTATATTAAATTGGTTATGTTTTTCGTAAAAAAAAAAAAAAAAAAAAAAAAATTATTAGACCCATAGATATTGGTTTGTTCAAAGGCTACAAAATACACGTTTCAATAATGAAATGAAATGAAAATATTTATTAATCGGAATATTACGACCACATGGTCCTTTCTTACGGTTAACCTCTTATAAACTAAGTTTAAACTAAACAATATGTTTTATTACACTTTCTTTTACTGTAAACAAAATAATAATTAAATACTTAAGTGACAAATCTTCGTCCCTATATCATTATCGATCATTGAGATGGGGGTCCGTATTTTAACCCCATGTTGTGTTACAAATTGTATAAAGTTACAATTTTGTTTTTCAAGGTAAAACAGGGTTCCCTAAGTGTTTTTTTTTTAATATTTTTTATGTTTCACCTAAAGATGTTTAACTTATGTAAAAAAATAGTTAACTTTTTTCCCCTTGATTTACGCCAAAAGGAAGTACTTAAACAATTTTATATAAAACAGTCCAAACCCTCGTGTTGTGGATGTTCCGGGAATCGAACCTAAGTCGGGGGCGTCCCTTCACCTATGTCCGAGACATTAACCACTAAGCCTACGTTCAGCATAAACTGTAAGATAATGTTGTTGTCTTCTTATAAATATATTACAAAATCTATCCCTCTCCTAAGAATTTTCAAAACAGTAAATATCTTGTATGAAAAAGGTTAAGACAATCTACAGCACCACACAACTCTTGACAATCTGGGGTTCTATCAGCATAACTTGATATATACGGTTTGCCAGAGAATCTATCATGTATCGTAGACTCATAGGTCTTCAGTTTCTGTCTGTGCTGAATTGCTCAGTGCATGTCTGACTTATATAAACCGTTCGTCTCGTCTTGGCCAATCCGCATTCGTCTTATACATTTTATATGACCTAGTTATTTCAGAGGCTATTCATGGCACCAATCAATATAGATAGTTTTTTTTATAGTTTTCAGCAAACTTCCAAGAAGGTGTAGGCCATATTCATAACAAGAACTATGGGACCACTGTACTTAATGTTTTTGTTGGTCCTCAGTAGTAAAATCACAGTTTGTTACTCTCTGATAATGGTGTGTTGGCTAAGTTAGTTATGAGTGAAATTATAGTACTTAGTTTTTTAGTAAAATATTGATAATAATTATACGAGGACACCCATACATAAATTATGCACAAAACTCGTCTCCGATGCATGTACTCAATACTGCAATACCCTTTAATACTTAAAAAGTTATGATTGCTGAAGACAGCAATTAGGTAGATTAGACTACTAATCTGCCAGATTCAGAATAAATATAATTTCTTTATTGTAGATTTATACCACAAAAGATTGATTTACCTACCTCAATCAGGTTACAATCATTTCTAAAAATATCCTCGGCTAATCATGTTAAGTCCCTTTTCATAAACTGTTTCGTCTGATGTTTTCTATCTGACTGTGGTTAAACATTTAACTTAAGGATCAACGGTAATTAAACATTTACAACCGTTGTAGAAAGTTGATCAGAATTACTTGATCTTTAAAAGTGGACTCTAGAAAGATATTAAATGCTAAAGGGACGAAGCCTTAAATGAAATCACCCTTCTGGACCTTCTGGTTACGATTTGTCACTCCGCTAGAACATGAGCTTTAAAATGACACCTAAATCGTCAAAATTGGTTCAGTAGGACAGGGGGAAAGGGGATGTAACGGAGAAAACCCTTTTGTGTTTTAAGATATTTTATAATTCATTCAAAATTATTAACGTTTGACACTAGACATGTTCTTGTTTAATTATAAGCTGATGATGATGTGTTTATTGATCATCCCTGATGTTAGTTTACCACTGGTGTCAGCGAAATTTAATCAATGCCTGCTGGAAGGTGTGTTTGTTTACACATAACTAGGGATGGTGTATTAGTTAATCACCGATGATGTTATGTTTGATAATCGATCACCAATATTGGTCTATTTATAAATCTATCCCCAATGACAGTGTGTTTGTTAATCAATCTCTGACGGTGTTGTGATTGTCAATCAATCTCTGATGGTGGTGTGTTTGTCAATTAATCTCTGACGGTGTTGTGTTTGTCAATCAATCTCTGACGGTGTTGTGTTTGTCAATCAATCCCCGACAGTTGTGTGTTTGTCAATTAATCTCTGACGGTGTTGTGTTTGTCAATCAATCCTGACGGTGTTGTGTTTGTCAATTAATCTCTAACGGTGTTGTGTTTGTCAATCAATCTCTGACGGTGTTGTGTTTGTCAATCAATCTCTGATGGTGGTGTGTTTGTCAATCAATCCCTGACAGTGGTGTGTTTGTCAATCAATCCCTGACAGAGGTGTGTTTGTTAATCTATCCCTGACGGTGGTGTGTTTGTCAATTAATCTCTGACGGTGTTGTGTTTGTCAATCAATCTCTGACGGTGTTGTGTTTGTCAATCAATCTCTGATGGTGGTGTGTTTGTCAATCAATCCCTGACAGTGGTGTGTTTGTCAATCAATCCCTGACAGGGGTGTGTTTGTTTATATATCCCTGACGGTGGTATGAGTTGTCAATCTATCCCTGACGGTGGTATGAGTTGTCAATCTATCCCTGACGGTGGTGTGTTTGTTAATCAATCCCTGACAGAGGTGTGTTTGTTAATCTATCCCTGACGGTGGTGTGTTTGTCAATCAATCCCTGACGGTGGTGTGTTTGTCAATCAATCCCTGACAGGGGTGTGTTTGTCAATCAATCCCTGACAGGGGTGTGTTTGTTAATCTATCCCTGACGGTGGTGTGTATGTCAACCAATCCCTGACAGAGGTGTGTTTGTTAATCTATCCCTGAAGGTGGTGTGTTTGTTAATCTATCCCTGATGGTGGTGTGATTGTCAATCAATCCCTGACAGGAGTGTGTTTGTTAATATATCCCTGACGGTGGTGTGATTGTCAGTCAATCTCTGACAGGAGTGTGTTTGTCAATCAATCCCTGACAGGAGTGTGTTTGTTAATCTATCCCTGATGGTGGTGTGATTGTCAATCAATCCCTGACAGGAGTGTGTTTGTTAATATATCCCTGACGGTGGTGTGATTGTCAATCAATCTCTGACAGGAGTGTGTTTGTCAATCAATCCCAGACAGTTGTGTGTTTGTCAATTAATCTCTGACGGTGTTGTGTTTGTCAATCAATCTCTGACGGTGTTGTGTTTGTCAATTAATCTCTGACGGTGTTGTGTTTGTCAATCAATCTCTGACGGTGTTGTGTTTGTCAATCAATCTCTGATGGTGGTGTGTTTGTCAATCAATCCCTGACAGGAGTGTGTTTGTCAATCAATCCCTGACAGGGGTGTGTTTGTTAATATATCCCTGACGGTGGTGTGATTGTCAGTCAAGCTCTGACAGGAGTGTGTTTGTTAATCTATCCCTGATGGTGGTGTGATTGTCAATCAATCCCTGACAGGAGTGTGTTTGTTAATATATCCCTGACGGTGGTGTGATTGTCAATCAATCCCTGACAGGAGTGTGTTTGTCAATCAATCCCTGACAGGGGTGTGTTTGTTAATCTATCCCTGACAGGGGTGTGTTTGTTAATCTATCCCTGATGGTGGTGTGATTGTCAGTCAATCTCTGACGGTGTTGTGTTTGTCAATCAATTCCTGACATTGTTGTGTTTTTGAATCAATCTCTGACAGGAGTGTGTTTGTCAATCAATCCCTGACAGGGGTGTGTTTGTTAATCTATCCCTGACAGGAGTGTGTTTGTTAATCTATCCCTGACAGTGGTGTGTTTGTTTATATATCCCTGACGGTGGTATGAGTTGTCAATCTATCCCTGACGGTGGTGTGTTTGTCAATCAATCTCTGATGGTGGTGTGTTTGTCAATCAATCCCTGACAGTGGTGTGTTTGTCAATCAATCCCTGACAGAGGTGTGTTTGTTAATCTATCCCTGACGGTGGTGTGTTTGTCAATTAATCTCTGACGGTGTTGTGTTTGTCAATTAATCTCTGACGGTGTTGTGTTTGTCAATCAATCTCTGACGGTGTTGTGTTTGTCAATCAATCTCTGATGGTGGTGTGTTTGTCAATCAATCCTTGACAGTGGTGTGTTTGTCAATCAATCCCTGACAGAGGTGTGTTTGTTAATCTATCCCTGACGGTGGTGTGTTTGTCAATTAATCTCTGACGGTGTTGTGTTTGTCAATCAATCTCTGACGGTGTTGTGTTTGTCAATCAATCTCTGATGGTGGTGTGTTTGTCAATCAATCCCTGACAGTGGTGTGTTTGTCAATCAATCCCTGACAGGGGTGTGTTTGTTTATATATCCCTGACGGTGGTATGAGTTGTCAATCTATCCCTGACGGTGGTATGAGTTGTCAATCAATCCCTGACAGAGGTGTGTTTGTTAATCTATCCCTGACGGTGGTGTGTTTGTCAATCAATCCCTGACGGTGGTGTGTTTGTCAATCAATCCCTGACAGGGGTGTGTTTGTCAATCAATCCCTGACAGGGGTGTGTTTGTTAATCTATCCCTGACGGTGGTGTGTATGTCAACCAATCCCTGACAGAGGTGTGTTTGTTAATCTATCCCTGAAGGTGGTGTGTTTGTTAATCTATCCCTGATGGTGGTGTGATTGTCAATCAATCCCTGACAGGAGTGTGTTTGTTAATATATCCCTGACGGTGGTGTGATTGTCAGTCAATCTCTGACAGGAGTGTGTTTGTCAATCAATCCCTGACAGGAGTGTGTTTGTTAATCTATCCCTGATGGTGGTGTGATTGTCAATCAATCCCTGACAGGAGTGTGTTTGTTAATATATCCCTGACGGTGGTGTGATTGTCAATCAATCTCTGACAGGAGTGTGTTTGTCAATCAATCCCAGACAGTTGTGTGTTTGTCAATTAATCTCTGACGGTGTTGTGTTTGTCAATCAATCTCTGACGGTGTTGTGTTTGTCAATTAATCTCTGACGGTGTTGTGTTTGTCAATCAATCTCTGACGGTGTTGTGTTTGTCAATCAATCTCTGATGGTGGTGTGTTTGTCAATCAATCCCTGACAGGAGTGTGTTTGTCAATCAATCCCTGACAGGGGTGTGTTTGTTAATATATCCCTGACGGTGGTGTGATTGTCAGTCAAGCTCTGACAGGAGTGTGTTTGTTAATCTATCCCTGATGGTGGTGTGATTGTCAATCAATCCCTGACAGGAGTGTGTTTGTTAATATATCCCTGACGGTGGTGTGATTGTCAATCAATCCCTGACAGGAGTGTGTTTGTCAATCAATCCCTGACAGGGGTGTGTTTGTTAATCTATCCCTGACAGGGGTGTGTTTGTTAATCTATCCCTGATGGTGGTGTGATTGTCAGTCAATCTCTGACGGTGTTGTGTTTGTCAATCAATTCCTGACATTGTTGTGTTTTTGAATCAATCTCTGACAGGAGTGTGTTTGTCAATCAATCCCTGACAGGGGTGTGTTTGTTAATCTATCCCTGACAGGAGTGTGTTTGTTAATCTATCCCTGACAGTGGTGTGTTTGTCAATCAATTCCTGACAGTGTTGTGTTTGTTAATCTATCCCTGATGGTGGTGTGTTGGTCAATCAATCTCTGATGGTGGTGTGTTGGTCAATCAATCTCTGATGGTGGTGTGTTTGTCAATCAATCCCTGACAGGGGTGTGTTTGTTCATCTATCCCTGACAGTGGTGTGTTTGTCAATCAATCTCTGACAGTGGTGTGTTTGTCAATCAATCTCTGATGGTGGTGTGTTTGTTAATCAATCCCTGATGAAGCTGTGTGCGTGTTTAGTCAATCTCTTGATGTTGTTTGTACTTGATAAATTTATGATGATGGTGCATTTGAAAATCTATACAGGATGGTGTCAATTCAATTGCTGATGAAGGTATGTTTCTCTTTAGGTGGAGGAGATACGGGAAATGATAGACAAGATACAGGCCAATGTGGAAGAAGTCAAGAAAAAACACAGTGCCATCCTGTCCGCCCCACAGACTGATGAAAGTGAGTAAATTACAATTTCTATCTTAGTTTAGTTGCAAATTGTGAATGATTCTTCTTCTCACCTGCTTCTGGTTTTTCATCGTCGTTAGAAACCTCTAAATTAATTAATAACCACAATTTGGAGTTATTTTATGGCCTCTTCATGTCATCATTGTCTACAGATGGATATTTCAATCAATGTTTATATAAAATTTTATAAAAATTGAGAAAACTGTAGCTCTCTGAGTTTGGGGGTATTAAAAATGGACTTTTGTTCGTGACACATGAATGAATTAAAACGATGATTGAGAAAATGGCTTGTAATTTACTAAGTTCAGAAAACATATTTAATACTTCAATTGTCTTTCTCAAACCATAGTAAATCAGAAATGTTATTCAAAACTACTACAACATTTAACTATATTGAATATTTTAAAAGAACCGATTATGAAATAAAATATACTGGCTGATATACAGTATCCCGTGCTGTGAATGGGGAGGAAGCACAGAAAGCAATGAAACATATTTATTTAGACACTAATAATAATTTACGCTATACGACTACCGCTATGTTTTTGAGGTTGAAATGTTATGATTATCTGTAAATCCTTTGTTGGGCAGGGTTAGGTCTAAGTACCTTAAACATCAATGGGAAAGGTTATGCAAACGCATACATTGAGTGAAATGATTTTATTTGAACCCCTTTAGAATTCAAGTGGAGCAAAATAGATAAATAAAGGTAAACATAGGTTCAAAAACTATTCCCGGTTATACCTAATATTATCTTTATAAATCATTATGATTGTATGTATAGTTATATACAAATTCTATAGTATAAATATAAACGTCTAAAATAATAAGCTCAATAACGTTCGTACAGATACATAAATCTTAACAGTTTCACTTGCATGAAGTGCTCTAACGGTGTAACAGTGACATTGCCCGTCGGAAGCTGTAATTCGTCTAAGTAGCACTTAAACATGACCCTGTCTCCCCCAGGTGCGATTAGCATTTTGACTTCTCCCCCCCCCCCCCACTCCCCCGACAATCTCCACATCACATCGCATCACTACACTTGCCTTACAAATTGGATTTCGGTGTGTGCGCTTCTTTTGTTCTCACTTGTAATACTTTTGTAATATTATCGTGAGATTTGATGGAAGCTGTTTTATGAATAAGAAAAGTGTCTTCTAAACTCTAAATGAAATCTTTATGCTTTATATTTTGTAAAGTTTTAAAAAACATTAAAAATAAAAATTGGTATTGCAAAGATGTGATGAACGCTAGGAGGTAAACATTTTTTTTTATTATTATGAAGTCTAGGTAAATATGCATTTTTTTTATTAAGGGTGAATCTTAATAAGTTACACAGTTTTGAAACACAAAGCAAAATTAATTTCTAGTTTTCAACAGACTAATGTATACTGAGGTTAAAAACGAACCTTATAATTTTTATTTAGCCTAACTACCAATATCTTGATTTAAAACAAAACCCATTTTAATTTTTCTCAACAGTAATCGGACATTGGTGGTTGAAAACATTGATGACAGTTAAAATGCTAGTGTCTACAAAGTCGTTTGTTTGTAAAAAAAATGAAAATTGTCTTTAGGTACATAACTTAATAAATACATAATTTTAATGATCACTTATAAACTACAATTGCAAACATTTCTTTACAACAAAGTATAACAAAGGTCTAACTATGAGATCACAGATTTGTATTTAAAGAAAGTTTAAAAAATTGGTTTTAACCTAAAAATAAAAAAAAATGTTTAATTTATGAACACTTAAAACAAAATTAGAATTAACTTAATTCAAACAACCAAGTCAAGTAGTATTTATACTGGTTGCAAGGCGAATGCAGCGGAATTTGTTATGTCATTCATTCATCGTCTGCGATGCGCTCTCTTGTGTGGGTCTTAGCAATTAGACAATAATAGAACTGTGGGAAAGTTTGTAATATTCCATGTTTCATGGCCATTTAAAATGTTCACATCATGAACAGTTAATTAGTTATTAATATTAGTTTGCAATTAGCTTTGTGTAATACTTAATCATACATGTTTCCTTTAAGGAAAATTTATTGCAACTTTGTTGCCATTGAGTTAACTTTGTCTCACTAAATTGATGTTTTGAAATTTTTTTATGTGTTAAAAATATTTTTTTTTATAAAAAATGTTCGATAAACCATACTAGCACCGCTTTTCCTTAGATGTAAACAACATTTGTTATGCTCCTATGTCTCTGGGGCATCATTATCACATAAAAATTTAGGTTACTTTGGGAAGGTAAAGTTCTCATAAAAATACATTTAAAACATGTTTTACAAGCGTACACAAAGTATGGAATAGTATGCCGATTTACATTATGTATTTTATTTTTGGTCTCTGAGTATCGAGCTTGACTAGTGGTGGAGCGGAGGACCTCGGTCCTTAAGGGTCGTGGGTTCTAATCCTGCCAATTGTACATAAGTGATAATGCGTCAACCACTAAGCATAGCATGAAGTAGTGCAAAAAAACAAATTGGGGCTAGATCCTAGTGTCCTAGGACAAAAAAAAATAGTTTGGTCTCTAACTCCAATTTATTCTTAACTTGTGAATAAACTCTGGCCAACACTGGCAGAAAATAAGATTTTCACCAATAAAATTGTTAAATATTGATTGATTGAACAATGTAGCATCCTCTACCAAGCTATGATAAATAAATTAGCCTGATACAAATCTAATACCAGGGTTTATCATCATGCCAAAAGATATTTAACATTAAATGTCTGGGTAGCTGAGTGGTTATAGGGTTTGCCTTCAAATCTAAAGGTCGCTGGTTTGATTCCTGGTTCGATTCCAAGCAAGGTTGTTACTGGACTCAGTCGCCATTTGCATTGTGCTATCATTAACGGAGATCTCTTACGAAATATTTATTATATGTAGACCTATGTTTGGACTGCACTCTTAAAAAGCCTAAACAAATGAGAATTACGTTAAAACACCATAAAATAAACATTAAGCTCATTCAACAAACAAAGTTGTAACTTTCTGCAATTTCCCGTAGCAGAGTTAACGAGATTCGGCAGAAACCTGGAAACCCTTCCGTGGCTCCGTTCCTATTAACATGTTAATTCATATTACCATTGAACACGTATTGTCCTACGGTTGGTTCATCTGCATTTGTGTTGGAGCTACATTGCGTTAGAACGGTTGCAATACTCGCTGACAAAAGATAACATTGTAAGCGGCTTTGGTTAAACATTTTTGAAGTGTTTAAAGTAGACCTTTGCAGTGTGATTGAATTCTATTCTATTTTTGAATGGTATATGGGGGAACAGTCCAAACGATGGTCTTGTTACCTTCTAACGGCCTTTTATAGCATCATTTAGATCATTAATAGAGCATCATTAATATTTTTTTTGGAATCAATACCTTTTTAATTCAATTGTTATTTAAGTTTTCCAGGTTTTTTTACTTGTTATTTTGTTTGTAAAACTGTTGGGGACATTAATCTGATTTGATTTGAGCATTTTGATGGTTCAAAACTGGACCCAGCTGTCCTTTATCGTTGGGCATTTAATCAATTGGTCCTGGACAATCTTAGTGAGTAAAAATACTACAGAGATCTCATTCCATTCTAGACTAATTTTTCATTCATATTTAGCTAACATACACACCTATGTGTGACACTGTCCTAAAAATAACTGAAACACTATTTTTGTTAATATTATTTAATGGTTAAAAATAAATTCCGGCCATGAATAAATTCCTGTTCTAAAAGTAATCATAAAGAATGGACTCTGTCCAGGATCGGAGCAGCAACCTTCAAAGTCTAAGGCAAGCCGTTCAACTCAGGTACACAGATTGTAAAATAAATTAGTGAAATATAAGATATTTCAAACGAATTGTAGACTCAACATGAAAATGTTAATTGTAATTCTCTTAGACATTGTTTCAAAGCAATGTTGGTTAAAACTTTACATTACTTTTCCTGTCAGATAAGTATGACTATATTAGTTCCGAGGAAACTTCGTAAAAGTAGGTTAGACAATGATATAAGCGGGTAGTAATTCATGGCTTATCTGAAGGCTTTTAGGTCACTAACAATACCTAAAACCACAAATAAACCCACAACGAAATATTCTTCACACCTATTCAAAATATTCTTGATTTCGACAATGCTTCAATAAATATTTTTAGTTTAAATTGTTAATGTTTTTTGTGAATAGATAATTTATTGTCCACAGCACCTATTGAGTAAAAGTAGTATATTGAATAAAATATTTGTCTACCATTAAATAACATGTTGCAATAGATTTATTGGCCTATTATTGTACTTCCATTCGATGGTATTGAGACATATGTTTGTATTTCCCCAGAAGAGTTTAAACAGATTGATAACAGAGGTTATACTTTACTGGGTGTCTAATGAGTGATAACATAATTAGTCTCGTTACTGGAAACCAATTAGTGACAACCATCAATAAGCAACAGTGGCAATTGTTGTTCATAGTTGGGTTTGCGACAAAATATCCTCAAAAATTCTTTTTTACATTGCATGTTATTGATATTTTGCGGAATTAGTTAGCTAATGTTTAACACGAACACAAAAACGAATTTGTATCTACTGTAATGTTTAACTTTAATCATTATGTTTTTATTCAATGTCCACTATCAAGTAATAGTTAGAAAATGCAATGGTTGAGGTTAAGAATGTAACATAGAGCACAAGGGCCTTGGTATTTAGGTTATCCTCATTAAAAAAGCATGTCATGATTGTATCAAATCTGTTTATCCAGAAAAAAAAGAATAAAAATTGTAGTTGGTCTCCAGTACAAACAGAAGTTGTATCCCCTTTCAATTCATGGCTGGAATTTATTTTTAAACCATTAAATAATATTAACAAATATAGTGTTACAGTTCATTCCTATTAGGGAAGGCTTTAATTTCTGTAGCCTAAATAATATACTGTTAGAGACAATTTAGTATTTTAATAGTAGTGAAATGTATTTTTGCAGTTAAAGAATAATAACTT